TCCCTGTAAAACAATACTCTATTTCTCAGCCTAGTTTGCCAAATATAATAACACACCGTTAGGTATATCTATATCGCCTACAAAGTAAACAAAAATAATTAACCATTATTAAAAATGATCCCCTCCAGATCCTTATAAGATTTTGTTTACCTACTAAGAGAAAATAATTTTAGCTTGAAGTTTTTGCAGTTCTGTACTCCATGCATCCCCAACTAAACTGGCTGTGTCAATTGTTTTCTTTCACTTTTTCAGGCTATGTTTAGCCCATTTATTGGGAAAAGGGATATAGTTTCAAAAAGCATTATGGGTTACAATTACACACCAGCTGAAGTGGTCATGTGTCCTCTTTTAGAGAGGACAATCCTCTATTTCAAAGGTTGTCCAGCACAAGTCTGGTATAAAGATACGTATATCCGTCCCTTGGCCACACCCTTCCACATTACCGATGCCATTTTTCTATTTAAAGTATAATAATTATTTCTAAATATAAATTAGCATATGCAAAATATATGCATATTCGTGTCCTCTCTCTTTTTGTGGGGATGTGTTTCCTCTTTCTGGTGGATTTATGTGGCTATCCCAGGTATCCCCTGAGATATAAACAATAAAAGCAGGTCAAGAATACAGCAATAATGTAGGCTTGACACTTCTATAGATCCAAACAATCTCAGGTGTAGCTTCCGTGTGGGAAACAATTTGTGAATATTCTGCAAGGAGCTGAACTCACTATATTTGGGTTTCCCCACAGGCAAAGTGTGGGCCACTGTGTAAACAGAAAGCTGGATTAGATGGACCTTCGGGACAATCTAGCCTGGCTCCTTGTATATCCCTACATCCTCCCATCAAAGGCACCCACTAAAAATAGCTGGAAGAATTACTAATCCTATAAAAGTACAACATGAACCTGCTGTAGAAAAAAACAACACAATAATATAATGTAACACATACAGAGAACCCTAGGTTTTGGTAAATCTCACTTAGATTTTTCTAGTCTTTCTTTTAGGAATATAGCTTCCAATAATGTGTTACTTTCCCCCGGGGTTAAAGATACTGTATTGATCTTCTTGGTGGTAACTGTGCTCTGGGGAAAATTGCATCATTTTAGCACTTTTAACTTTTTTGAATTATTAATTATGTTCATAACAAGTGGAATACACAATTGGTGCTTTATTTTATTTGAGAAATTGGGCTGACAGTGTTCTCCATCAACAAAATAAGAACTGGTAATATCAAGGCAGTATTAGATCACTAAGGAATACCAAATTTGGCTGAACATGTCTGGTTATATATGAATACTTATTTGTTATCCAGGACATAACCATGTTCATTTGCCCTTGAGCAGCTGTAGTGTTTTTAACATCTTATAAAATGTGTTACATGAATTTTTATGATTTCTGGAATTTGTAGTTTCATATTATTTTTCTTATTTCATTTCTACAGCACCCAGCAGTCAAAGTTCTCTTGGAGGTTTATAGAGTGCATGTATCCCCATTATTATTAGATTTACTTTTATCTTAACAATATTTGTTAACAATATTTGCTTATTTATCTGGCCAGGGTGACTTCTTTTATATTTTATATTTTTATTTATTTTATATTGCTAATTTTAATTTTATATTGTTATTTTTGTGTTTTATTGTATTTTATTGTGTTTGTAAGCCGCCCCGAGGCTTCGGCAAGGGGCGGCATAGAAATGTTCTAATCATCATCATCATCATCTTTTTATTTATTTATATTTATAGCCTGCTTTTTTTTCCTTCCAAGGAACTCAAGGCAGATTACATAATTCTCCTCCTCCTTTCAATCTTATCCTCAGAACAACCCTGTGAGGAAGGTTGGGCTGAGAGTCAGGGACTGGCCCAAAGTTACCCAGGGAGCGCCATGAGTGGGACTTAGAACACCAGTCACCCCAGTCCCATGTGCAGAACCATTGCAGCACACAGTCTTTCCTGGGGCCTCCTTCCAAACCTCCTTGGAATTCTTGGGAGTCTCTCCTGAGGATCTGTCTGTCTGTCTGTCTCCCCCACAACCTTCAACTCCATTATATCTGCCATGCTGTCCCCTGTGCCCAGGATAGACTTCCGCTTTCCCTCAAATGGCTTTTCCCAAAGTGCTCCTGGTTTCCTAAATTATTGTGGCCTCAAACCCTTGCTCAGATCTGCACCTCCAGCCAGTCCTTGCTGCTGCTCCTTGAGCAAGATGGTCACAGCCCTAGGCCTGAAGTCAAGCATAGCCGTGTTGGGCGTCTTAGAGGGCTTAGACCCACTGACAAGAACCTGGAGGTGTTCCCCCGCTTCACCACTGCAACCTGCTTGCTCATTTGCATCTTATTCTGACCCAGATAACAGGGAGGAGCCTACTTTGCTCCCTGGGCCTTCACCTGCCAGACAAGATGTGGTAGTGATGAGGTTAAAGAGGACAAGGAGAAAGAACACTAGGGAGAAGGTAAACTCAGAAGGACAGAACCTACTGATAAGGTATCTTGACCAGGGGCCCTCGAAAACTCAGGTCTGGCATGGTATCAGTCATTGGTCAAGCCCCTTCTTTGTATACAGAAGGCCCCAACTTCAGTCTCCAGGCTCTCCCAGTAAAAGGGCAACTGCAGGTTGGAGGAGATGGTCCGGGCTGGATGAACACATCGCCCTCTTCAGCCATGACGGCAGCATCTTGGTTTCAGTCGAACCTCCTCCCCCACGACACAGCATCTCTCCCCGATAAAAGTGCCGGCAATCTGCGCAGCATGGCCACCGGACACGCGCAACACCCGGCTCCGTCTAATCATTAAAACGGCACAGACCAACTACGGTTTCATAATGGCTCTGTCCAATCAACGATGCTGCTACTCAGAATCTAGACCTCGTCCTTCTAAGGATGGAAACTTCAGAAGGAACGGAAGTGGTGGATGGGGTGGGAGGGAGGGAGAAATAATGTGCGAAGCAATTTTCCTCCTGCCAAACTACTCCAGCTGATTTCTCAAAAAAATCACAAAAAACCCAAACCCGAACAAATGGAAAAACTTTAACCCTTAGCCTTGATTAATTTGATCTACATAATACAGACGCTTGCAGCAATCAGGCTCTGATGAGCAAGCCTTTCCTTAATCGCCCAAAAGAAGCCGGTGTCTGTGCAACACTCCAATAGGTTTTTTCCACAAAGACGAGCTTTTTCTCGGAGGACAAGCACTCCAAAAAGGTCCCAGGTTGGTGCCCCGCTTTCCTTTAGTTACCATGGCCAAGAAATGCCTGCTATTTCTTGGCCTCTGCAAAGATGTCCACACCCTGAACCAGGATTCTCCTTTAAAGAGAGGGACCAGGAAACCCAACATGGCCGGGTTCTTGGCCTAGCTGATCTAGGCCTAGCTGAGAGCTAGGAGAGTTCTTTCCCAGGTTCCCAGTCAGAACCCGGTCATAGTTCCAGGCATCCTCTGGAAAGGGCCAAGCTCAATTTTCAGCTACTTCTCAGGAACTCATTGGTAAATTGCAAGGATAAATGACTTGCAGAGCAATGATAAATATCATAGGCTAGGATGGAAGGGTTCCCCAGAAATAAACAGATTGTTATGACTACTATTGCAATGTTACATTTATATCCAACCTTTCTTCTTGCAAGAAACCCAAGGCAGGTTTACAAGGGTCTCTTCCTCTCCATTTTATCCTCACAGCAACAACCCTGTGGGATAGGTTACACAAAAAGCCAGCTACTGGCCCAAAGTCATCACAGTCACATGTGGACTAGAACTTGGCTCTCCCGAGTCCCAACCCAGCTGCCGCACTTGTCTGAGAGGCAGTTAAATCAACTTAACATGCCCTGATTCTGCCCCTGGAAGCAAAGGAAACAATCATGATGAGCACACTCCATGGTTTGATTCAGACGGAACAGGCAACTCATGGTTTATGCTAACTATAGTTTAGCCTCCAAACAACGGTTTGTATTCAAGATCTGCAGACAAGCCATCATTGTATGGCTAGGTTCACCATCAACACGTAGCACCTCTGGACACCGCCTGCCCTTGCACCCGAACAGCTCCCATGGCTGACAGTTGCCCTGGACTTTAACAAATTACTGAGACTGAGAGAACCCAGGTCCCAGTTCCCATTCACCCATTAGGCTTAATGAACTCTAATTAATCCCTGCAGAAAGATCCAACAAAGTACTTCATTCACTCATTCATTTCATTTCTGTATTGCTCAATAACCAAAGCACTTTATCATTTATTTTTAAGCAGTTTGAAATCAAGTTCCAGAAAAATTAACCCTCAAACTACCAATTTTAAAAAAATGAAAAAAGGCCTATCCTATGCTGCCAAGTGCCTGGGAGTAGAGAAAGCTTTATGATGATGTCCTCTGCTACGGGATAGCCAGTACTGAGAAGGCCCTCTTCTCTTCTGTCCTCTCCTAGCTTCCCTCTAAGGATGCTTCTCAAAGGAGAAGCTCTGCCGTTGATTTTAGGGCATGGGTACATTCATATCAGGAGAGCTGCCATCAGATCTGTACTTAAATGGGCCAAAACACAAACACACACACACACACACACACACACACACACACACACACACACCAAGGGCTCCCTGTGAAGGAATAAACTCAGCTTGGAAATAGCTGTCTGGTTGTGGGACTCAGCAAGCTCCAAGACTGTACCTGATGGATTTTACAGGTACAAATTTGAGCTAGTCGTGACACACTTGCAATGGCAGCAACTCACAAAGAAGCTGCAAGGTTTCCTGGAGGTTTGGTGGGGTGGATCTTCTACATACACAGATACCCAGTCTCTGCAGAACTAAAAGGAAGAGTGTGTGAATCGTACGTACAGAGACTTCTTTCTTGTAGAGGGGTGAAAATGAATCTGTGGTGTACGTACGCTGTCTTCATACTAAGTACTCTGGAATATTGTTACAGCCGTTAATGGAAGTGTAAATATGCAAATAAATACATAGCATTCCTTTCTGGGAAGGGTAGCAAGACGTTAAATCAGCAAACAATCCCCCTCTGTTTTTACCCTACCTGCTGAGAGGAGAAGAAGCAACTGTCTTGAATCCTACATCTACTTCCCTGTAAGTTGAACACTGGAAAGAATTCCACTCATTTAACAGCTGTTCCGTCCAAGGACAAGTGACCTAAAAGAATCATCCAAGGAAAAGTTGGCCAGGTGTCAACTGGGGATGATTTTCCGTACAAGTTCTCTAAGTTGAACTAGGTGGTTAACTCTGATCCTTTCCAACACAGAGACTGTGTTTGCATTTCAGGACAAGCAAGCCTGCATGGTTTCCATGCAGTGTGGGGGGCTTTGCCCGGATGTGCCTGCCAGACAATCAAGAGGTTGCTATACTTGTCTGGCTTCCATCCTCCCTGCTCAGTCCTCCCACTGCTGGCACATATCCCATCAGCCATTGTACTTGAAATTCAATTCCATGCTCGATGGCTGGAGCAGCTCCCACAGCTGCCACTCTTTCCAGGCTGGTCTGTGGTAGCTGTATAACAAGCCCACTATGGCTTGTTGTGCCAAACAGACCAACCCACAGCCTAAGAGCTGTTTCAAAAAATCACAGAGCTGGAAAGGATTTAGTAGCCCAGTATTCTACTTCAGAATCTGCACCATAAGGAACTGCTACAACATACCACAAATGGCCACACAGCCTCCAGTGAAGAACTTCCTAAGCCAGCCTGCTCCACTACTGAAAAGCTCGTAGCAATAGGGTATTTCTCCTAATGTTTAAATAAAATCTACTCCCCTACTATTTCCAACTCCCAGTTCTCCTTCTGCCCTCATGCACAACACAGAGGTCTGGTCCATCTTTTTAAATAACAGATATTTGACTCTATTATTCAATACATTTAATAATCTATTGAATAACCTTCTGATATTTGAAGATTTTGCTCTTTAAAGTCTGCATCCTGTCCCAGGTTAAGACAAAAACAAAGAAGCAAATGCTTCCCGAGCATGGAAAACTAGCACAATAAAGAAAAGGGTTCTGGGTGGCTTTCCTCCCTGGCTGTACTAGCAATCTACATTTAAGGAGTGTGGGAAAGTATTTAAACATACACTTCCCACTCGCATTACGATAAGGTACAGCCCTCAGAAGGACCGTACCATGTGCTGTACCTATCTGAAAACACATTGGTTATTTATACTGCTGTTTCCACGTGACAGCCGTTTCTTTCCGCACCCTTAGAAACATATCCCCATAAATCCTCCCAGCATGGAAGTTCGGCTTTCGGAGAAGGTGGCGGTAAGGGGGTGGGGAGTGATGGCAGCTAAAATGCCTCCAATCAAAGCACCAGTCAAGTCCTGCAGTAACATAACTCAACGTGCAATGTTACAGATGTTATATAGCTACCAACGTCGGTTCTATTTAGATCATTTTTACAAACCCAGCAAGAAATATTCCCCCACTGCTGGAAACCACGCTAACAGGTTCTTCGGAGCAATTGTTTATTGAAGCACAGATGCGACCAGGGGGGAATCAAGCAACAATGAAGCACGAGCTTCAGGGGCTCATTTTCCAGCTTTATCACACTGAGACAAGAAAACCAAGAAATCCCACCTTGTCTGGTTGGCCTAACTTGAAATGGTCCACACAGGGGTAGAAAGTCAGACATGGCCACAGAGTGTCCACATTGACTGCAAATATGGCGACTGCTGTCCAACATATTTCATTCATTCATTCATTCATTCATATTGCGATTTATACCCTGCCTTTTTCCTACAAAGGGCTCAAGGCAGCTGACATCATTCTCCTCCTCCATCTTATCCCCACAACAACGACCCTGTGAGGTAGGTTGGGCTGAGAGGCTGTGACTGGCCCGAAGTCACCCAGTTGTCTCCATGGTTGAGCGGGGACTCGAACCCAGATCGCCTGAGTCCCAGCTCTGAACCATGACGCCGCGCTGGGACTGGCGTTTGAAAAGAATCGAGTTGGGAAAGGCTTTGTTAAGCAGATGTACGTACCCGCAGGAAGCCTCGTGTCTGACCTCCACCACCAACAGGCTGAAGAACCATGGTGAATTAGGAAGGAAAGCTGCCATGTCATGTCTGTATAAGCCAAGAATTTGGACCCAACATCCACAACGAAGGCTGATGCTCTCCCTCCTGGCCCCTCCATGCAGACTTGAGCTTCCAAAGTGACTTTTAAAGCCCTGAATGGCTGAATGCACCTTGAACCCCAAATAGTCATGGAATGGTGGCTTGTTTAAACTCTTGTTGCATATGGGCTTGAACTACCAATCAAAGTTTAAATCACTGCTAAGCAGAAAGTAAAGCTGGATCCATGGGCATTTCTGAGATTGATCATCAAGGATGTCTGGCTCCTAACCGAAGCAACAAGGTATTTTAGCTTTGAAAAGCTCCACAAAGTGAACCCTGCAAAACCAGAAGTCTCCCCAACTTTGGGTAGTTTATTGAATCCTCCCAACAACAGATTCTATGCAGGCACCAAGTCACATCTATAATGCCCAGGACCATGAAGAACCACCATCGTTCCAGGTCTGAACACTGCCAGATGCTTCCTATCTTAAAAGCATTAACTGGGGAGAGAAGGGAGTCAGTGAGCTGAAGGCTCCCTACAACTTGTTCATCTTGCAGGAAACCACATTTTCCTGTTACATCTGAACAGATCTTTCTTTGGTGCATATCAACAAGGTGCATATCAGCTTGCCTGTTCAGCTCTCCTTTCAAAGGCTATTAAGGGAGTCTCCGAATGCTGGAAGATTTATTGCTCTGTACTGTAACTGCTGCACGCCGCTTTGTTTGTTAATTGTGATTAGCTTTGCCTGCAGAAGAGTAGGCGTCTAATAAATCAGTTATCTTCAGGAAGAATTGATTTTAAAAGTTGTTAGCATTGTGCACTGAAGTACTCGGTAACAGAGCACAATAAAAAAAAGCCCTGAAGTCTTCTGATTGTATGGTTGTATCAGAAGAGTTTTTCTTCTTCTTTAGATTTTAAGACACTGTCACTAACAGAAGCATCTTCTGCAGACAAATCATGAAAATTAAATGATTTTTTTTTCTTTATCTCATGGGGAAAGCTGTTTTATCTTCATACCATTAAAAGTGACGGGACTCAAAAGAATTTTGCCAACTTGGGGGAGAAAAAAAAATTCTCATGTCAGTCATCAATATTCTGCACCACACACAGTAGATACAATCTCAGCTTGGTCCTCAGCGACACAGAAACATGGGAAACGACCTAATATTAAAGTAAACCATTGGTCCACTTCACCCAGTATTACGGATCCTGACAGACAATGGCTCTCCAGTGTTCAAGGCAGGAGTTTGTTTTGCTTTGCTTTGCTTTGCTTTGCATTTGGCTGCCCTACACAGAGATACTGGGACCGCTTCGTACAAAAGTAAGGGATTTAGCACCACTAAGTCAAAGCCCGTCCTTCAGTACCTAGGGTAAGAAAACTAGCTCTAGCTGCAGGGATGTTCGGTAACACACTGGGCCACTGGATATTTTGCTGTTCCCACTTTAGCAGGAGCAACTAGGTGGTGTGCACATGCAGGAAGAGAAATTACGCACCCTACTAGTCCTTCTGAGATTTTGGACTGAGAAAGGAAAGTGTTTCTTCACACAGCGGAACTCACAGATACAGGATACAACAGAAGCTGCTGGCTTTAAAGTGGCTTAGACTAATACACAACAAAGCAATGGTCTAGCATCCCCCGTGAACCATGGTAGCCAAATTGTATCCACTGAAATGGCATCCCCGGAAAAATCCACTGTCAGGGAGAAGTGGGAGATGCAGGACTAGCATCACATGAAGGCACAAGATATAACCCCATTGTTGTTCTCATATAACCCCAGTTCTCCGTCAGCTCCACTGGCTCCCAATTGAAGCCCGGGCCCAATTCAAGGTGCTGGTTATCACCTATAAAGCCCTCAACGGCTTGGGACCTGGATATCTAAAGGAACGCTTGCGCCCATATATGCCCTCCCGCCCCCTGAGATCAGCAACGGATGCCCTTCTCCGGGAACCCTCCGTGAAGGGTATTAGGAGGGCGAGTACCCGGAGGAGGCCTTTCTCTGCGGTGGCGCCCCATCTATGGAATGCACTCCCCAGAGAGGTCCGCCTGGCACCGTCGTTATTTGTTTTTCGGCGCCAGGCTAAGACCTTTTTATTTAAAACTTATTTTAATTGTTAAATTATTTGTATTTATAGGATTTTAAATTTTTACCCGAGAAGCACCGGGGGGTTTTAAAATATTTTTTATTATTATATTGTTATTATTTATGTATTTCTGTATTTTGTTTCTGTTGTGAGCCGCCCCAAGGCTTCGTTGCGATGGGGGCGGCATAAAAATGTTTTAAATCAATAAAATAAATAATAAGGGGGTTCCTGCTCAGGAGCCGTCTGACCAAAGCCCCTTCGACTTGCACCTCTTCCCCACCATTCCAACCTGCTTTTCGCTCCAGCCTAGACAACAGTGAGGTGAGAAGGTGGAGGAGAGGCCTCAAGTGACCTCCACACTAGCCATATGCCTGACAAGATTCTTCCCCCCTCTGGCAGGATAAATTCTCCCTTTGGGCACCTGAGAACTCAATTCTTTTGCTTCCTATCTGCCTCATGAGCACATTAGCAGTCACTGTGATGGGAAACAAGAGTAGCAGGTGGCTGAGCCTCTGAGATGGAGTGCTCACCGTAAGCGGTTGCCCATGGAGAGTGCTTTGGTTCAAGGGACCTCAAGACACAGAAGCAGCACCTCTGGGGCTCCCTCTCCATCGCGTCTGCACTCTGACAGCCTTCCATCACAATGCGGAGACTCGTCTTTCACCAGGAGGTGCATAACCTGTCGAATAGAGTTTAGCTAGATAATAATCATCTCATCTTCCTAGTAAGAGAACTGTTGAACCGTGTGCTCTTTCTCTGAGCTACTGTTGGGTGAGTCTATTGGTATTTCAAGTTTGTTACCTTGCATGATGCTAGGCGTTTGGAGGGAAAAGAGGCCCAAGAGTGCTGGATTTCAGGTGCTGGCTCCTGCCACATTACCAAACCATCTCTCCCCCCACCCAAGGGATCTATGAGTTATCCTGCCCTTAACAAGCCTGCTTGCAAGCCGGAACATCATCCTCGGACATCATTTATCCGCAGTCCCAAGCTGACATGTAAGCGCTCCAAAGTTGCATGACCATCACTGCTGCGTCAAGTCACTGTCTTGTCTGAGAGGGGCTGCCATCCTGCTGAACCCAGGAGGAACTGGGAAGGAAAGCTGGCACGAAGGAGTGGATTAAAAGTCAATTGCTGTCGGGCTGCCAAGCCTCATCACGGTTCTCCGGTCCCCAGAGTTATTAAACCTGCAGCGTTCCAGGAGCCCCTGAGTGGTGTCAGTTCCGTCTTTGGCCTGACATGCCGCCGCCGTGCTTTAGAGGATGCCAGAAGTACTGTCTGCAGGACTGCCTTCACCCACCCTTCCCGAGTGTACCGTGCGGAGGGATGTCACCAATAATCACAAGTGCTAAAGCTGTACGCACGGGAGCGGAGATCACACTGTTCTGGCACGTGTACGAACCCTACTAGGAAAACACAAACACTGGTTTCGCTTTGGGGAGCATACAAGAGAAGAGATGCTAGTTCCTGGACGAGTCTTCCATTTTGCTCATAATGCAGGCAAGTAAATAAGTCGCCTCTCACTCGTGTATGTCGCAACTGTATATTCAACTTCTAAGAGTAACAATATTAATTGAGGGCCAATGCGGCGTAGTAGTGACAGTGTTGGACCGACATCCGGGAGATCCAGTCTTGAATCTCCGCCATGGAGCTCACTCGGTGATTTTGGGCCAGGCACTGACTCTCAAGTCTAACCTACCCCACATGGTTGTTGGGAGGACAAGATTGAGAGGAGGGTGGTGGTGTTAAGTTGTGTTGAATTCCTTGGAGGGGAAAAGGCAGAACATGGATATAATGCATACACAAATGGTTGTCATTGTACTGGCCACACGTACCAGCCCATCCCCATTTACAGGGGCTATTTAAACATGAAAAGGGTTTAAAAGTGAGGCATTAAAGTCTTTTATAGGCCAGAGAAGTAGCTGAGAGATGATTTTAGCTTCCAGCTCCATCAGAACCAGTGATTTAGGATGCAGAGCACAAATGCATCACGCATCCAAATGAGTTTCTGATACATTACTGCTAATAGGAAAGTGGGGAAGGGGGCAACAGACCACACCCATCTTTAGCATAACTGCTCTCCTCTCCTACCAATACTTTTAGTCTCGTTTAGGACAAATGGTCTGTCTTCAATTAGGTCTGGAGTTTTGTTGCTGCTTTTAAAAGAGAAGCCTCTTCAGCCTCCAAAACCTATGAAAGGGGCTTTTTATTCTACCCAAAGTTTATCTAATAAGCACATACTTTGCAAAACAGCACAAGGATGTTTGGTAAGTTTGGTGGTGTTCTTTTTAAAAAAACGATGAGGAAAGAGTGAAAAGAGAAAAGATGAAGAAAGAAGGCCAACGGAGGAGGGAGTAACCGAAGGAAAGCAACAGGAAAGGGGTTTGCCTTCATTTGGCAAGGGTGCAAGTATATACACAGCCAGAAGGGAAGTCTGTAAAGTTTAACAAAATGCAAAGAAAGACTTCTCAGAAGTGGAGAGAGAGATTAATCCTGTCTTGTTCCCCTGTCCGCTCTTCCTCACACATATATTCACTTGTGGTCTCTATTATATGTTTCCTCCAAGAG